CATCGCTAGTAGGTTGAAGGCCATTGCCTCTAGGTTGGAGGCCATTGCTTAGTAGGTTTGAGGCCATCGCTAGTAGGTTGAATGCCATTGCTTCTAGGTTGGTTTATTCTTCATTGCCCCACCGAAACGTCAGGAGTTGCGGGAAGAGCTGCAGCATTTAGTTTCGACTTGTCCGGAATTGACGCTCAAGACGCACTGGGCTCCGAACGCCTCGTTTGGGCGTTCGGTCCAGCTGGCCCAAAACTCAGAGTGCATCGCTTCTAGTAACAAGTGCCTTACTACTAGGAACAAGAAGCTAACAAGTCGCCTCAGAAAAATAACAATAAGAAAGCCTCTAGTTTGGGGAGCAAGTATTCCAGACTTGCGATTGCCTTTTTGGCACGGAGCAACAACAACAACAACAACAATTAGTAGCAACTTTGCATTTGGCTTCCCTGTTTTCCAACTATGTTCCTTCTTTCCTTTCATGTTTATTCTTTTTTAAGGCCTTTAACGAGGCGTTCTTCTTTCTTCCGTGTTTTTGCATTCCAGACTCAAGGGCCATGAGTAACAGGCTCAAGTGCCACAGAATTTGTCATCTCAATTGTTTCATGCAAGTTGACCCAATTTGTCAGCTCATTTGTCTCATGCAAGTTGACCCCAATTCTTGCCGATCTTTGACTCAACTACACCCGCTACAAGCCACCAGAGCACAGCCCTACCAATTCTGAAGCGGAGAAGTCTTGCCCTTACTGAAAGGACAGGACTTTTTGTAGGACTTCTCACTTCTGCAAGGATGAAGAAGAGGCGGTTCATTGTTAACGGCACGACTCCAGAAAGAGCTCTAAAGTGCTATGCTTCGCGCCAGGTCGTGATATCCGACATCCTAAGTCGAGCATGGGGTTCTTCGATCATTCTAAGGATGTGATCAGCATCAAGGCCAAAGATGCGGGCGCGAAGAAGCTCAACAAAGTCTTCATGTTATTTGGGGTCTGTCCGGCTTTATTTGGACACGTCTGTCCAGCTGGGAAGAACAGTGACCGGGAAGCTGTGCGCTTCACAAGCTCGCTTGGCGCATTGTTTGCACGCCCATGCAGAAGTACTTGTTTCGCCGCATTCCCTGGTGCCGTGCTCACAGTAGTGAAGGAACACATAACATGGACATCACACAAGAACTGGTCCATGACAAATTGTTCCACGATGGTGAGCCCCCTGATGTGGAACCTATGTAAAAAGGATGCTACTAGGAGCACAGGCTAAGGGCATCGCTACTAGGAGCAAGGACGCTACTAGGGGCTCCTGGCCATACTACTAGTGGCAAGGATGCTAGTAGGGAGCAAATGGAACCGTAACAAGGGAGATCCACAGGTCCAGTTTCACAATGTGGAGACATCTCACATCATCAAGCAACGGCATGCCATCGGCCATCGCTATTAGAAACAAAAAGGAAAAGGAAGAAAAGTCTAATAGGGCTAGAAGCTACTAGTAACCAGGGCAATCCTACTAGTAGCAAGGTGCCTTACTAATATCGTTTGCTATTAGGTTGGAGGCCATCACTAAGAGGGTGGAGGCCATCGCTGTTGCGCCGTTGATGCCATGCCTCAAAGGCGCGGGAGTTGTTCGAGCGGGCGGCTTGTCTCATTGAGCCCCTAGTAGTAACAGGTGCATCGCTAGTAGTAACAAGTGCCTTACTAGTAGTAACAAGAAGCTATTAGAATCAAAATAGAATTGGCAAGAATGCTACTAGTAGCGATGCCAGGAGCCCCTAGTAGCGTCCGATCGCTCCTAGTAACGTGGCACTTGTTACTACTAGTAAGGCACTTGTTCCTAGTAGCTTCTTTGCTCCTAGTAGTAAGGCCAGGAGCCCCTAGTAGCGTCCTTGCTCCTAGTAGCGATGCCAGGAGCCCCTAGTAGCGAACATTGCAACTGAGGGCATGGACTGCCAGCACCCGCACACCCTGCCTGTGCAGGACAAGCAACGATATGGTTCCTCCTTTGCATGTGAATTCCTGCTTAGATCTGAAGACGTCCTTGTCCTTTTGTCCTCCCGTTTCAGTCTCTTCTAGCAGTGTTCAAGTAGAGTCTGACTGAGTAAAGATCGATGGCTCATTGAGGTGCATTGTTGCTAAGATCGATGGAATTGCATCGCTCTGCATTGCGAGAGGGCTTTTGCTTACAAGAGGGTTGAGGGTGCAGTGTACTTTCTTCAAAGGCCATCGCTAGTAGGTTGGAGGCCTTTGCTGAGGCCATCGCTAGCAGGTTGAAGGCCATCGCTATTAGGTTGGAGGCCATCGCTATTAGGTTGGAGGCCTTTGCTGAGGCCATCGCTAGCAGGTTGAAGGCCATCGCTATTAGGTTGGAGGCCATCGCTAGTGGGTTGAAGGCCATTGCTTCTAGGTTGGAGGCCATCGCTAGTAGGTTGGAGGCCATCGCTAGTAGGTTGGAGGCCTTGGCTATTAGGTTGGAGGCCTTGGCTATTTTGCTGGAGGCCATCGCTATTTGGTTGGAGGCCATCGCTATTTGGTTGGAGGCCATCGCTATTAGGTTGGAGGCCATCACTGGTGGGTTGAAGGCCAATTCTTCTAGGTTGAAGGCCATTGCTATTAGGTTGAAGGCAATTGCCTCTAGGTTGGAGGCCATCGCTTAGTAGGTTGAAGGCCATTGCCCTTTTGGAGCAGTTTACTTCTTTTCATGCACTCAAGGTCTGGATGACCCCACAGTGTTTGACATGAGGACGTTTTGGCGTGTTTCAACGTCACGTTGGACGAGGGCCTTTCGAGCAGCCAGGCAGGTCGGAGCAGGTGTCACTCAAGTCACTCACACGTTCTTCTCAACGAGATGTGCTGCACTGCTTTGTTTTTGTAAAGCCAGGGTGAAGGCCTTTCCAAAATTGTGTGTTCTTCCTTGTTGAGCCTCCAATCCTAAACGAAGTGCTGGAGAGGTTCCATTCCTGGACCAGTTGCTGGATGAAGACTCTGCCAAATCCGTGGGACATCCAATTGCCTTCGTTTCCGGAAACCTGTGCAGGTCTTGCAGCAGCGGCTCCACTTTGGGCTCAACAGACTTGCCGAAGAGGACGCCATCCCTGACTAATGCGGTGCACTTTGATGCAGCAAACCATTTTGACTGAAACATTTGTTCCAGGTTGACTCTTAGGACTAGTAACAAGTGCATTGCTACTAGTAACAAGGGCACTACTAGTAGCAACAACGCTATTAGTAGCGATGCACTTGCTACTAGTAGCTTCTTGTTACTACTAGTAAGGCACCCGTTACCAGTAGCGATGCACTTGCTACTAGTAGCTTAAAGGATTGCATTAGCAAATTTTTCCAGGTTGACTCTTAGGACCCTACGGATACAGAGCAACCGTGTTTGTTCTTTTCCTGTAGATCTGTGGACATGCCCTTGCTTTTCCTATGGTTTTCCCTTTCTTTTTTCTTTAGGCACCTAGACCTTTTTTTCTGTTGTCTTACAGGGCTTACGGGCTTACCTATCAGAAATAAGAATCTGCACTGCGCTTGCTTGGGCCAAGGCTCTTTGGGAACCAAGAGTCCGAGTCACCCGAATGTCATATTCAATGGACACGCTCGGAGGAGAAAAAACCACTTTGGAGGTTGATAGCAGCTCAATTTGAAGACTTGTTACCTGGCAAAGACCTCCCTTTGGACCTAAAGAGATTGCTTTCGGCTTCGCCCTTCGGCGAGCCGGGGCAGCCTTAGGCGGCTTTTAGTCTGTCTTTGAAACTTCTTAGTAACTAGAAGCTTTCTAGTCACTGTAGAAGCTACTAGGTGGAGGCCATCAGAAGCTTCCTTGGGAATCGTTTGGCTGGGAATCCTTTCACCTGTAGTAACAAGAAGCCATTTAGTACGTCTTCGAAGCTACTAGGAGCAAGGACGCTACTTGGGGCTCCTGGCCTTACTACTAGGAGCATTCTTACTACTAGTAACAAGAAGCTATTAGGTTTGCTAGTCCTATCTTTCTTTGAATCGTTGAATTTGGTTCCGGGTGTCGAGCGCGCATGTAGAGTGTGGAGTTGAGGCTTGTCCGGATCTTGCTGCTTTCAGCGGTGGTGTCGTTCGTCTTAGCATACCTCGATGCTGAAGAGGGTGCCACTGCCTATGTGGAGCCGCTCCTCGTCCAGAACCGCATAGAACCGCAGGCCTAAGACATTCTACTTTTCGACGAGAAGGGGATAAGTATACATGAAGGACATTAAAAGACGATCTACTAGTTGTTTTAACGGTCACCCTAGCTGATCCGTGCACCCGGACATTGAGCCCGGGTCCGACGCATGAGGAATGCGTCAAAGCCACACAAAGAAGAGCATAGAAGCAATAATGTTCTCGCAGTTATGTTTTAGACCGGCCTTTCACTGCATTCTGGCTTTCAAGGCATCATCCTTTCAAGACTGCATGGTGGTAGTCCTAGCAGCCGTAGAAGTGGTAGGCTATTTGCTTTGAAAGCACGGAGTTGTGAGTCTGAAGCAAAGAAAACTCCGAGAAAGGATACTCATCCGAAAGCAAGCTGTTCGCTCAGAGTCATTCGCTCATGGGTCTCCCAGAAGACGCTCCAACAGCTGGGCATTCCAGACCGAAGTTTTTTGACCTTCCGATTCAGAAAGAAACTTCCCGGGAAAAAGCTACTAGGAACAAGTGCCTTGCTAGTAGTAACAAGTGCCTTACTAGTAGTAACAAGAAGCTATTAGAATTAAATTGAAGATAAGTAACTAATAGCTTCTTGTTACTGCTAGTAAGGCACTTGTTACTAGTAGCGATGCACTTGTTCCTAATAGCGATGCTAATTTTAACTTTTCTTTAAATCGTGTTTGAACATTTGTTTAATCACTCCTCCTTTGGGAGACGCAGACGCAGCGTCCGCTCCGTCCGCGGCATCCATTTTGTGAACCGCAGTGTAGCATTCTCGTAGGGGCTCCTGGCATTACTACTAGGAACAAGTGCATCGCTTCTAGTAACAAGTGCCTTACTAGTAGGAACAAGAAGCTATTAGGAACAAGTGCCACGCTACTAGGAACTAAAGCTTCACCTCCAGGCACCTGTGTTCCTTTCTTTCTTTTTTGTTCCGAAGGTTTCTTCCTTCTTTTCCTTTTGGCATGTGTTTTTCTTTCCACCTTCAGACCTTTCGTTTTCTATTCTTTTCATGTTTTCTTTTCCTTTCAGTAAGGCTTTTGTCCAAGAACCCTGCTTTCCCTGTAACGCCCCCTAGCACAAGCCACAACCTGAAAAGACATCAAGACTTTATCTAGTTCTGCTCAGGTTGGTGATCCTGCTGATCCTGATAGCAAATGCCATCGTTGGAGTTTGGCAAGAAACCAATGCAGAGAAAGCCTTGGTTGCCCTCAAAAGGCAGAATGGGTGTCGATATGTGTGGATGGGCGGCGAAAGTAGAAAACAAGCCAGCCCAACTCAGGAGCGGCTGGGTTTTTGGATTCGTGCTCAACGAATTATTGGCCAAAACTTGAGATCAATTGGTCAATTCATTCAACTGCTCCAAATGTGCTCCACTTGTCCATTTCAAAATGACCAATTTTGGATCAAGATCGAATTCCGTCAAGGGAGCCCAGTGCTTGTCAGTGGGTTCTTGTCAGTGGGATATTGCGCAAAAAGACTATGAAGTGAGTTTTAGGGGGTGTGGGGGTGTGCTCGCGTGGAGGGCCTGTCGAGTAGGGTCCCAGAGCCTGCTGGACAAGAGCGAGCAAAAGGGGTTGTCCAAAATGCAAGGCCTTGGTGATGCAAGGGGCCGAAGAGGTTCAAACACGCGTGGCTCTTCTATGCAATAGGCTTGCAAAGGTAGATTGTCTTCCAGCAGGGGAGACAAAGTCTGTCTTGCAACGTGTTTTTTTACACAGCTCCTAGATCCCTGAAGATAGCTTTCCTTTGCTGGTGCCCTTTTTCCTCACCAAAACTTTGACAAAGCGATTAAAAGGGGCACCACAACACATGGCCTTTCGTTGAGTCCGTTGGTCACGGTGC